TCTGCCTTGAAAAGCTTCCAAACTCCTGCGAAGAACAAAACTAGAGAAGCGGATGCGGTGTGGTGTGAGGGGCATGATGGAGAAGCTTCCAAATGGTTTGGGTGGTGGTATGTTGCAGGGGCTGTTTCTAGTTGTGAGTTAATGATAGCTCACGACTATGCAAGATATGACAGAGATGAGTTTTAAAATAGGCGAAAATGATGGAGGTCTTTGGCATGAGAGATTGGTGAATAATGGTGCAGGGACTGTGTGGATCTTGGATTTAGGTTGATATAAAATTAGTGTTTTAAAACCCTACCTTGCCCCGGGGTCGATACCGCTGGGTCACTAACCCCCTTTTTCTGAGGGTTGGGGTAAGCAGTTTGACCCTGCATGCACGTTGACCTCTTTGACCCTCGAAACCCCACGGTTTAGCCCGTGACTCCCGAGTCAGAGGGGGTCATTGCATTTTTTTTAAAATTTATACACGAAAAATGTCGTTTTGTGTGTAAAAAAACAAAACAAAAGAAAAACTCACTGCTGCCTAGATCTAGAACTAGATCTGAAATTTGAATCATTCTTCTTCTTCTCTTTCGATCTTCTCTTCCAGACCCAGACCCAGTCTCCCTGATCTGGTGTTTTCCTCTGTCGTGGTAGTGGTTCCTCCTATCCTCTTCGATCTTTTCTCTCCCTCTCCTCCGTAGTGTTGGTTCTTCTCTTCCCACCATTGATTCGTCACGCCGCCGCCTTTCCTCTGTCGTTCTTTCTTGGGTAAGAAATCTCCTTTCACATGCTATTGAAGGACAATGAGGGCCTGACTTTGATAATATAACTTTTCATTAACTCCATTGGAATATGTGTTTTATACTTTGATAGTTTGATTAGCTTGTGTAATATTGACTTGTTGATGTAATTAGTTGAATTATGTTAAGTATATTTTGAATCTTTGATGATTGGTGGTTTGATTTTTTTGAATATTTCATATAGGATATATATTTATATTTTTTTAATGTATAAAATCGAGCTAACGAAATGATACCGTAACCCCCTGGTTGAACCTATAACCCCGTGATCCCCTGACCTCGGCCGAGTCGATGGCCTGGCCGAATTTTTAAACACGGTATGAAATGGGTTGATGTCAATTATGGAGGAACTTTAGTTTATGCTTGGCTTGTGTGGCCATTTGGTTTTTTAGCTTGAGTGTTGTGTTTACTGCAAGTTTGGTGGTGAAGGAGCAGCTGTTGTAGATGTAGTGGAATTCTGTTTCGGCTTGATTTGGATACTAGTGGATGAGCATGGGGTAATAGTTGTCATCATTTTTCTCCTCTCTCGCACTCTCAACAGATTTAATACTTTTGATCATACTTTTATCAGAAAGTGAGAGTCGCACCAAATTGGATTAAGTAGATCATTGAATTGCTTCCGAAAAAAAAAATCTCATGAACATTTGAGTCCAGATTGAAGACTTACCTTATAAAACACCAATGCAACAATGAAACTAGGAGCCCTGTGTCCTTGGTGTTATATATATTCCTTTCCTAGCTCCAATTTAACTTCTCTCTAACACTCTAAATTTTTTTATTTTGGAAACACACTCTAAAATTTCAAAGCCCAAGAAATTTCGTTTCTACATGACCCTCTAAAGCCAACTGTTGTTCTCCATTCACCATAGAGATTTAGAATAAAGTTCCCCTCTCTTTTCTATTTGACTTTCCATCGCTCCTTATCCTCCTTTTCTTTTTCTTCAAACTTTTTCCTCTTCCCTCTATTCTCTCTGGATTTTTTCTTACCCGAGATTCCCATCTATTGAGGTCTTTATAAAGTCAAGACCCTTTCCCATGTTGAACGATGATGCCCGTTGAAAAAAAGAGATCTTGGACTTTGTTGCTTGGTGTGGGTTATACAAAGGTTCATTGGGCTTGGGTCTTCTTTCAATATCTTCTTCTGGGCTTCATTCATTCTCCGCAGTCCTTCCCATCCTCTAATGTTGCTTCCTTTTAATCTAGCGTTATTTCCTACCCCAACAACAATTTGCTCTAAACTCCTATTCTGAATTATCCCCATGCGATAGCATCAATAGGCTTTGTAGAGATAAACCCATTTGTTCCGTGGCGAACAAAGTAACTCATTTTATTAAGGGTTCATTTAATCTTATGTTGAAGGAAAGATCTTTTCTCATGTTGTGACACATATGTAGTGGAACCCGCCATTTAAAGAAAAAAGAAAAAAAAATGAATGTCACGATTTTCGATGAGTGTGTAGGAGATAAAACTACTCTTATGTTGCATAAGAGTAGTTTTTCCCTTTTATTAAATCTTAAAACAGGTCCATCACCATTTTTTTGTTTTCATTATTTTTTGCGCTATTATTTCTATTAGGGGGCGTTTGGTTGGGGAGAAATTTTTATGAATCATAGGCAAATGTGATTAGTGGGGAAATGGTTGGAAAGTGAGTTTGGTAGGAAAATGTAAAAATAGTTGTTTGGTTAGAAAATATTTTACTGGGAAAATTAGGTAACTTTTGTAAAGTCTACATTTGGGTGATGGTAAAATATAGATGGGGAACTCATTGCCGAATTACAAAAATAATCTTCCTTCCAAAATTAAACAATCTGGGCATCGTACCCTTTTGTAAAGAACGCCAACGACTATATGTTAAAAAACGCAAGGTTACTGTCTCTCTTTGGAATTGATGTGTCGATCTTGGAGGTGAGCAACCATCAGAAGGGGATACTCGAGACCGTTTTCCAGACAATCACAGTCAACGCATACAAAGAAGGCGAAGGTTTTCCGGGGTTGTAGCCGTTAGGGTTGGACTTGGAACCTAGAACCACAACTGGCTCGGGCCACTTCAGCAAAACAGTATGACATCGTAACACAGCGAGTAACACATTTGAGAACTGCCTACTGATGGTTTCACCGGACCTCATGAATTGTCTTTTGATAATTCTATTCTTCACATCATGGGCCAATATGTGCAGAAATATTGCGACCATCTCTTCCACACCCATATGCGCAGTTGGCTTCAGCATCCCAACTGTTTTAACCAACTCACACAATTTATGAAAACACCTTCTATCCATCCTTGTATTCTCAATACAAGCAGTGTCACTTATATGAACTATTCTAAGGAAGTTAACTTCCCTCGTCCTAGCCCTGCTGCAATGATCGAAGGTTATTCTCCTCCTACTATTTGTCGTGGTTTGAATATGCCGTATTAACAAAGCACACAGACTGACTAATAACATGGTCAATTGATTCAAACACTGGAAATTCATAACGAGTGCAAGAACGAAACTAAACTCCATTCTATCCCCCAGGGCCATGATCTAACACGAAAGCAACAAATTAAATCAGTTAACAACAAAAAATTATCCCAAACACGAGGGCAAATCAGCGAAACGTACAAATTAGTAAATAAATTTTCAAGCTATATTATAATAATAAGATCATCAAGTTAGTTCACACTAAATGACATGCTTAACACTTTTATTGCTGTTGTTAGCCCTTGTTGGCATTGTAAAACTATTACAACCTAATTTGAACTACACTCATCCAATGGAATTTGTAACTTCCTGCCAGTTATCATATGTTGTACAGCTGCCATATGCAAAAGGAATAAAGATTGCGGGGGGATGTTATTATGGTTTCTCCGAGAATAAAAATATCAAATAAATTTGGTGTAGATCACCTTTTGTTGGTAGTCATAACACAATGTATAAATACCTATCTACGATGCAAATATGGTTCCTATGAACTGATGTAGATTTGTGTGCGTACGATGCAAATTTGTGTGCGTACGCAAATAGCAAACACAAGTTTTTTCTTCAGATTTTTAGTGTCATAGTTATCTACTACCGACCAAGCACAAAGATAACAAGTTTGGGTCTTTCTTCAATGACAATTTCTGAAAGCCTTTTTTTTCATAAATTCACTCTGTGGTTTTGATTTGAATGAATTTACTGAACTTTTAGACATATGCTACTATCCGATTATAGAAAGGGTGCTGATTTGCCCACCAATCAAACATCACAAAATCAGTGTGCCAACCAAAACCACTCTTCCAACATGTGAATCCCACATCCTATTAAAAAATTAATCTTCCCCCACCATCCCACCATGGTGCTTGCCTATGCAACTTCGACAACTTTCTGAGCCACCCATCTCTCTCTTTCGCTCTCTCTCATCCACTTCTATTAGAGGAAAGGTGCTCAATAAAAAAACAAAATATTGCCCCGAAGATATCTACAATGTTCTTATTATATCTTCTTTTATATAATTTTTTATTTAGTACACTCCACTTTTTCTTCCTATTTAATCCCTCAAGACACTTCCTCTGTAGCTTTCTTCGTAGATAGGTATAACAAAATATCCATTCTGTAGATAGGTTGTCACCAAAACAGAACATGTGGGTATGGTTCCGTTGAATATTTGTTTTATTTAAGAGAAGAAGAAAACAAAGAGTGGTACTGATGATGGTTTGAATAATCTTTGTGATAACACTTATCTATTGGAAGAGGGGAAAAAAATGAAAGGATGTATAGGATTATTTAACATACATACAATGTTTTATTTCTTTCAACGATACATTACAGAATATTGGGGTCCCTGTGAAAACCATGACAGGTAAGCTGAACAAATCATTCCTTGCAGCTAGGCAAGGGCACATGATAAATTACTCAAATGAAGATGCTTACCAAACACAGACTAACCGGCGAGGCTGTGGATGATGTAGTCGACGGCAAACAACAAATGCAGAGTATAGGCTCTGTCGGACACCGATGCTTGAAGACACCACCCTCTACTCCAACCACAAACGCGATGGACCTACATGCAAGGGAAAAACGCAGTCTTTGTGTGGAAAGCAACCAAAAACACAGACGAAAAATAAATATGTTCCACCGAGTTACCTCCCACGGTTTGTTCAGCTTCGTGCTCACTGACCAGGAACAAGGTCAAGACTATTTCGCTCATCCATTCGCTTGCATGTTTCCCAGAACAATCTGTGCAAGTCTTGCTCTTTTGGAGGTGACAAGTCTAATAACTCTGCAAAGTCGATTTGGTGGAGATTTTCCCTTCGCGCGCTTAAAGTGAGGGTATGCTGGTCTTTTGTTAGGATGTACAGTGACCAATTTGAGCAGGTTTTTGACAATACCACACTGCCAGGGGACAACTTTCGCCGGCAATATGGACTTGGATGCCTATGCTTTTTTGGTTATGTAGACAACTCGTTTAGGTAGGATAGTGTCACAGATACTCCAACCAAACGTGGTCCATGTAGATGCCTTGCTTTCATTTCCCCATCTTTCTCCACCGAATCCGTTAACCAAATGCCCCCTTAAGTAAAATTAGGATGCTATCCTCACGATATTGCATAAAAAACTCAATAATTAGGGTGATTACAAGCCTCATACACTTTACAATTTTGTTAACGCTTTTCCTATTCATCTCAATTACTTACAAAAAATATTAAATGTTTTTTCGAATTTTAAAATATTAAATATTATTATTATTATTATTCCTTATCATTACATCCCTTAACAAATCTCTATTTCTTACACTGTAAAAATTTTCTGAGTTGATAATTTGAAAATTGACTTTTCCTTTTGACTAAGTAAAAATAAGAAACTTTTAGGGACAATACGCAATAATTTTAATTGTTTTGATGTTTCTAAATCTATTCTCTTCGGAGAGGGAACCTGCAAACCAATCAGCGCAGTGATCTACCTCCATTATTAAAATATGACAGGTCATCTTCATATTCCTTGGAGCTTGCAATAGGCATACAAACACGACCCAATTAAGCCAAGTGATTGACCAAGAACATTGAACTGCGAACAAAACATAAGACAAAAGATTAATAAATAAATTAATAATTGAATACAGCGAAATGGGGCACCAATCAAGAATTCAAGACTCCAAAGGAATTTGTCTTTACCAAATCATATGGAAGTCCTCCGAATAAAAACCAACCAAGCCCACTAGTGAAAACATCCTGGATAGTAACTAAAGATCAGTAAACATTGTTTTTTTGGAATCTTGTGAAGCACCAAAGTGTCAAACATATGCGAACCTATCATAAGATTTAGGGACAAATTCATTTTTAACAGCTAAATTGCTATATGTAAGAGTAATTTATAGAACAAATTCTGTCCACTATACATGTCACCCATGCAAGGAAAACAATATGGTTTTAATGTGCAAACTAAAGGTTAATGCAGTCAGCAAAATCTTTTGGCAGTTAATATTAAAAATCATAAAATGAACAGGCATTATATAACTAACCTTTAAATTACCACAGATTGCCTGTGTAAGTGCCGAGTTGATAGTTGTATTTAAAACTACAATGTAGTTCATAAAGAAAGTCAACACGCAGGAAAGAAGCATCACAACCTGCACAAGATTCAAATGCAGCAAATCAAGTAATGCTTCCAAACTTTCAATTGATAGATATAATAACAATGATATGAAATATTCTGGACATGCCTAACACAATCCGTTTACAAACTTGTAAATAGTAAGTAATAAGAAAATACATCACAGCATTTTGGTGATTGGTACCAGATGATATCGATGGAATTTCTTAAATATCGGTGGATGCACTCAACGAGACAACACGGTGTGGAGGTGCATAAGGATATATATTTTGTGCACCATCTTGAACATTGCAAGATAAAATTGTCTGAAACATTAAGGTGTATCAGTGTGGTTTTAGATTGAAATTTTTTAAGGAATACTGGCTTTTATATTTGAGAAAAGTGTGTGTCATTTTAAATTTTAAAGGATGTAAAATTCTGTCATTTTAAGAGAGAGAAAGAGATAGATAAAGGAAGAAAGAGAGTTGATAAAAAAAAATAAAGATGTGGGTCCCACTACCTCTTTGTGAAGTTGTGTCGTTTAATAGGATAAACACTTTTCCCTTTATATTTTCAGATTAGACAACAATTTTGCCGAATTACACTACTTTTGAGATGTCATAGCTTAAGTTTGTGATGAAAGTGCCAGAAAAAGGTTGAACGATTCAATTTGTGCATGGAAGAAGTTCTTCAACAATTGGGAAGAAGTATTCAACTAATAACATAAACAGCCAACATTACATAAATGCTGAAACAAAGGAAGGAGCAAAGCTATCGAAATAAAAGCAAAATATAATGTTCTTCGCAATTGTAGAAATCGAGTTTACTTATTCAGATTACTAAAAAACTCATAAAAACGATTTCAAACACGCACTATGAATGCTCTAACCAGAACATTTGCTAACAATAAGCACCTGAAATCCAGGGTAGAACAAGTAACGGAAGTTCAGTGTTGTTTGGAGATCTCCCGAGAGCACGGACCAGAGCAACAAGATTGGTGCACAAATCACCACTAAATAGAAATGACAGTTAAGATGATTGCAATTTTTATGTTCAGAACAAATGAAATTGGAGATTAAACAACACTTCAAGATCACTAAATCTTACCATTGCACCACATAAGACCAAAAACATTAAGGCCGGTGGATCTACCTAAAAGAAGTTGTAAAGATATCAAATTAAGTGATAGAACTCCTAATATAGCTAAATAAATGAGACAACGAGAAATAATGAATAACGAACATCTTACCAACACGAGAAACAGAAGCAAGGTATACTGCCTTAAACATGTTTTCTACGAAAATAACTGAATAGGAATAGGCATCAAATGCCAAGTCCCGAGATCCAGCAACAAAAGCACCAATAATGACTATCCCAACACTGCTAAACACCTTGATCCGTTAGGCATACATAGAAATGCAAAATAATCACTCAAAAATTAAATGGTGATAGAGAACTGAACTGCTCCTATATATATTGTTACATAAAATCTACATCTTTAGATTCACCCCCAAGAATATAAAATATATGTAAAAAAATAAAAATAAACAACAATAATCAAGTATGACCGACACACAGATATTTGTGTTCAAGCTTAGTAAGTGGTTCCAACACTACATCTTAACCCAAACTTTAAGGCATTGAATTTATGGGTCACTCCAGTCATATATAATTCACATAGCTCATTATCGACGAACGTGTGACTCATCATACTTGAATACTCCAACAAAATGATAAGAGTTAAAGGCCACAACTCGGCCACTTTGCTCAAATACATAACAATGTTCACGTCATGAACATAGAGTTCATCTCCTTCAGCAAATTAACCACTTAATTTATAATAACATGCATAAATCGGAACATGCATGGAACAAATAAAACCGAAAACCATTTTCCCTGGTTTCACTATCAAGAATGATCTAAGTACAACCACTAGATGGATTCGATGGAAGAATAGTGGGAGTGGTGTATACCTTCCAATAACAAAACTTGAATGTCTTTGTCCTGATAGGAAATACTCCACAATCATTGTGAAGGCCACAGCAGTTCGCCTGAGGGTGGTGTACATGGGAATATTTATGCCGCGCACAGCTTCCATGGTCACTACCTTTCACCGGAACATCCATAGCGATTGTTAGAGAAAATTATGTCCTTGTCCAGGAAAAAGACCGTCGATGTTTATAAATACTTACCATATATAGCAAATATGTTAATGCAAGAGGAAAGGTGCGGGCTAATGTCCTAAAGGACACAAATAATGCTAGGTTGTTAGAATTGCTCTGCGGTTCACCAGTTGTGAAAGAAATTATCTTTAGGGATTTCATCACATAGAGAATAATAAATCCACACACCATCTGAAACCAACATGACATATAACATTTCAGCATTTAAAAAAAATGAACTAATTATAAGAAAGTAATATTAACGGCAAACATCTGGTTAGTGATGGAATGCGTATCAACCAGTGACAAAGCAGAAAGAGAATTAAGTGCTGTGGCTCATATGTGGTATGGAAGTTAATAACAAAATGCAACAAACTAAGGTTGAGCGCTAAGAAATTAAAGTAAGACCACAAGCATTAGCGTAAGGATAGTCACAAACCATCTTGAAAAATGAACAACCTGAGTAAGAGTGATGACATTTGCAAATGGAAAATTGTAAGAAGAGAGCGCTGCTTTATTGAATATGACCAAGAGAACTGTAGAAGAATCAATCATTGCAATAAATTGTTACAATGACACATCATCTTACTCGAACAATTAATCGATTAATTAAGATATCTAAACAGCAAAAGCAAACTGGGCACATAAAGAAAATAATGATGAATAACTACGTCTGTTCATTTATAGTATCGCTACATTTAAAAAAAAAAAAAAAAAAAAAAAAAAAAACCAGAGAAGGCAATGCCACCCTGAAAACAATAATCAGTATAAAATTCAAAATGAGCAACCTTTCTGCAGTAGAAGCTGTAGCGATCAGTCTTTAGTAAAAGACCTGAAAGAGCAATGTTACATACCAACCACCAGAATTAAGGCAACCTGCCCATCCATGGCAGCGCTTTATTCACCTCTGCCTCTTTTTGGCCCTGCTCTCGGCGTCAATGGTTGTGTTCTTCTCCTTTTTCGTTCTAATTCTCTTTGTTCGGCAACAAAAATGAATCAATTTTATTACCCAATGAAATTTGGAGAGGCTTTCTCTTCTTTGTGTTATTAATCAAACTAGGTTTGTTGGCTAGCTATTACTTCTTTAAGGTCTTATCATTCGAATTGCGAGTTTGATTGTGACAAAGTAACTTACCGCATCAGTTTTTGTTTATTTGTATTTGTGATAATCACTTGAGTTTTTATCTCATCAAAGACCGGGATCCAAACGTTTTTGCATCCTATGACTTGATAGATCCTTTTCCATGCGGGATTCACAACATCTAGTACGAAGGCAAGGACGAGATATGAAAGAAGATAATCCAAGAGATAACTTGATGCCATGCATAAAGCAGACAAGAAAGTAAAAAGCCAAAGAATTTGGCTGCGAAAATTCAACCCCCTCCTTTTTGGATGGACAAGAAGCTTTCCAACTAGCAAAGTGGTCTCTACTACATTCTCTCACCCCCTAACCAAAAGATATCACAACATTTAATCTCCGTCTAATTGCCAGATGATATTATTATTTTTCATGCCAAGGCTTTATTTCGTAAATATATCATTATATTTGTTGCTAGACATAATTTTAAATAGACATAATTATACATTTTGAAGATAATATAAAAATTACCAAAAAAAATTTAAGTTTAAAATAAAAAATTTATATATATTTATTTGGATTATGCAATTTAATTAATGAACCATTAACTCAATATTCCAGCCAAATCAAATGACCCATTCGATTTTAATAACATACGCTAGAACTCCCTACCCACCAACTGTATAAAAAATTGCTTTAGTGTTGCAATCGTCCCTACACTATAACGTTACACTCCGAGTATGTCGGTCAGTGCTTTCTACCCATCTTACAACATCTCATTCAATAAACAACATCTCATTCAATAAATATATTCAGGGAAATCATATTCTTATGTTACATAAGATGAATTTTTCATGTCACTTTTTCTCGAAAAAATGTGCTTTTTTTTCTTTTTCTTTTTTCTAAAAATTTGTAGGACTCACTTTATTTGACTCTTGACATGAGAAAACTTTTCTCGTACTACATGAAAAATTTATCGCTTTATTATCACATTTTAAGATTTTTAAATTTTATTTTTTTTGGATTGGTACATTTTAAGATATCTTCATCCGTAACTAGGGCACATGGAGTCTCTGCGCCATGGCACTGTGTATCGACCCGTCCCTATTAGCCTAAAACTAAGGCACAGTCACTTACCCTTATTATATGCACGCGCAGCAATAATAAGGAAATATTTAAAGATTTATACAAAAAAAAAAGAAGGAAATATTTAAAGTGGACGGGCAGCACTTATTTTGGGTGGTTCAGTTTTAAAAAACGAAAAACTTTTAGGGATATAGATGGAAATATAAATGAAAAAAAAATTCCAAATAGGGGGAAAATTTTTAATATAGATATACCGAATTTGGTACACAATTTATTAAAATGGATTAAATTTTTTCTTATTTTAACTTTTACTTTTTTTTTTATATTTTTCTCCGTATTCCAAAATCTTCCTTCATTTAGTCAAGGTGTACCAAATGTAGATATATTTGTTGTACCGAAAGTTTGGTCCCACAAGGGGAAGGACGGAAGCAAAATGAACTACTGAATCCTAGGGAGAACCAAAAACTTAAAAATCATAATCCAATCAAGTTCTGGACCAAAAAACTACCATTTAACTAATTTTCAATAAAGCTAGGGGACTGATTTTGGTATTTCTGAAGTTGACAATTGTAAATTTTAATTGATGGAGCACTCGTACCCTTGATGCTGACTTCAATCTTGGCACTGTTAACTTTTTCTCTCAAGTTCATAACAATTAAATGATCACATCCAAAAGCAGACAAATTCTCAACTGTTTATTAAAAAAAAAAAAAAAAAAAAAGTGGCAAGGGTCCTTCATGCCAATCCTCAAATATTCCACAGATGGTCCCCAGCTCCCTGTCTAGTTTGAATTATTTTATTCATTTCACCCTGATCTTTGCAGATCATGCACTAAAACAATATGACATTCTCTGGCAGAATTCAAACAAATGTCTTTCATCCAGGGAGCTGAAGATGTAAAATCAGAATTCTCTATGTAGCACCGATACTGACATAGGACATGATACGATATGATATTTTGACACAATAATTTTAAAAAATATTAAATTTTGATATATTAAGACACACTTTGATATTAAATAATATTTTTAATTTAAGTTATGCATATTATATTTAATATTCAATAATTTAACAAAAAAAAATAAAGCTAAATTTATAATACTCATTAATTTTATAAAGAAACATAAGATATCACAAATATTTAAATTAAATTCAATAAAATGGTAATGATAATCCAACGAATATAATAGTTAGAACTAAAAACGCAACACAATGCAACCTTTGAACCTTTTTTTTGAGTTTCTACAACGTGTGCTGGGGTGTCCGAAAGTGTTTGAGTATCAGAGAGTATCAGAAAGTGTCAGACATGAGTACTGAGTATACTTTCCCTGACATTTCATTCCCTTTTTTATACTCAAATAATCTTCAGAGCCAGATAACTGACATAGTCGCATATAACTTTGGACTAACAGAAAAATCTTATATTTTCAAAAATGTTAACCTTTTGGGAGTGACAAAAATGATTTATCAAATTCTTAATCATTTTCATTTCCTGCCTATTCGAAATCAAACCATCTCAGACACGTCCAGCCAGTATAAAAAAGGAAAAGAAAAGAAAAACATGTATATATAAGATTTATTTTTTCTGCAAGAGTCAAATGTAAATAAGTTTTCTACATTGAACCTAAAACAATGTCGTTTTGGGTGCAAATCAAGATATTTTTGTAATTATAATTTATTCCAGAGTTATAATAGTCTTTTTCATTATAATTTTTTAATTTTTCAACTCAAAACGACATTGTTTTGGAAGTAAATATAGAAAACTTATCTATATTCAAACATTAAAATCATATATATATATATATAACTTAGATATAAATTAAATCAAGTTTGTACTAAAAAAATTAAGTTTAATCATAGTAGAGTGAGGGAACTACCAAACGATGTTAATAACATACTTAGAAGAAAAACAAAAGCTATATAGAATATATGATCCATATAACAAAGAATATCATGTTGTTAAAGAAGTAAAAACGAACCCGACGAGGCCATATAAGATAGAGCAGCGTAGACTCCTTTTCTTGTCATGGTTGAAACTTTCTGTTGTCTCTCTTCACTCTGTTTTGGATCATCGGAGAGGGGCAGCTTCAGATTCTTCGCAAACTCCATCAATGGTATTCACCACCACTCTCTCTCTCTCTCTCTCTCTCTTTCTGCAAGAGTACCTCGCCTTCCTTACCTGAGAATTTGAGACGAGAAGTGATTATTTTATAACTAAAGCAAAGAGAAACGGAGAAAGGGAAAAAACGTGTCATTAATATTGAGTGACAAAGATAGTAAAGAGGAATGTTATAAAAAAAAAAAAAAAAGATAGTAAAGAGGAGCGGGAATTGACTAAATTACTACAATTGGGTAAAATGTTTACAAATTTGGTGTAACTCCTAAATTATTTGTCCTTTCTGGTGTCATTGAGGACACGTGACAAGCTGGAGGGAATTCTCAAATTTAAGATTTTTTTAAATTGTCTTTGAATTGGTCAAAAAAAAATTCCTAGTAAATGAAGGATGATATATGCGATAAAAATTCCTATTTATTTAAAGAAGATATTTCGAGGTCGAATTTTTTTTAAAGGGTTAGAGTCAATAATTTATTAATATAAATAAATAAATATATATGTATATATATATAAATTGTATTGTCTTAAATTTATAGTATCTTATGTTGTCTTATTTACTTGATTATGCATGACTTTTATTTGCTTGCTAATTTTTTTGTGGGGGCACAAACTATTAAGTTTCGAGGACGAAACTTGTTTTAAAACGGGTAGAATGTAATACAAAAAAAATACTAATATTGAATTAATAAATAATATATATATATATATATATATATATATATATATATATATAATACTCTCATGTGTATCATAAAATTTAGGGCAAATTACATTATACCACCATATACTTAGGTGCTTTTTCAAAAAGTCACCTTGTACTTTTAATTAAAATAATTACCGATACTATAGAATTGAATCAATTAAACATATTTATTAATTTTAAGACAAAATTAACCCTATCATCAATCACCACACCCATAACTGCTCGGCCTCTGCCACCTGTAAGAACCTGCAACGTTAAATTAGGAATTTAATTAATTTAATTATGAGTTAAAAGATAAATTTCATAATTGACTTTGAATAATTATGAGAGAGCTTAAATAATTATAGTAAGTGATTAATAATGTTGAAAGTCGTTTTTCTGACGAAAAGTGCAGATACCGGTTCTGCCTCACGGTATAAGTGCGTACCGATGAAGTATCCCGGAAAATTATAAAAAATATGTATATGTTAATAGAATAATATGCAGGTCAAGTGTACCAAGTTTGGTGTCGAAATAATGAGAACTGGCGTCAGGACTGATACTGGCTACGTAAAAGCGCGTACCGGCAAAGTACTGCGAAAAATATAATAAAAATATGATAAATTCTAGAAAAATGGCTAGGTTCAGAATCCACAGTTTGAGATTAAAATGATAAGTGTAGCTATTAATGCTAATACAATGGGTTTAAACTTAAGCGAGGTATAAATAGTAAGGGGCACATAACCCTAGCCTGATACTCAGCTTCCTACGTGCCTCCATTTCTTATTTTGAGCTCCCTCACTTGCCACCACCTTATCCTTTCTTGAAAACCATCAAAAGACCACAATTTCCATTGATTCTTCTCTTTTAATCATTGTAAACACTTAGTAGAGTGACTTGAGAGGGTGAAGGTCGACCTTTGCTGAGTTGTGGGTGCTATTGTGGAGGCTTGGGGTGCTGCCTCTGAGTTGATTGGTGTGGGAGCCATTCTTTTGGTTGTTGGAGCTCTAAGTGGTGATCTTTGTGAAGAAAGAACCAAGCTTTGTGCGCCTTTTTCGTGGACCTTGAAGTTTGAACCTTGTGGCTGGTGTGGGAGCTTCAAGAGCATTTATGCTTGCTGTTTTAAGCTTGGGAGGTAAGCACCATCACTTGTCATGCGTTTTCTATGTTTAAAGTCGAGTCTTGGCATGTAAAATGAGATGAGTAGATAACCAACACCATCACTGACCTTAAGGTGTCTAAAAATGCATGTTTGGTCGTGTAATAATGCTAAAAGATGAACCTTTAAATGATATCTTCAAGAAATGCAAAAACTGCATTCTGTCGCGAAATATCGGGATATGATATCCGGATATGGATATCCGGATATGGCCCCGACAAATATCCGAATATTCTGTGAATTTTTGTGTTAGTCACTATTCTGTTTGTACATAATAGGATTTTGGGTTTGTGGACCCATGATTGGTGAAGTTTAAACTCTGTAATAATTAAACTAAGTTAGAATCACTTAGATTAAAGACTTATGGCTTTGGGAGAAGTCCAATGGCATGAAACGTAAAAGGAAATGTTTTCGTTATGTCATAAATGATTAGATTATTAATGTAGATATGATAGCTGGTCTAAACAAATTGTGATTGAGTTGTTTGTGGACTTTGGATGGTTGTGGACCTTGACTTGAGATTGATAGCTTGAGAGGTAAGCACTCGTGTCCTCGGATTGATCTGCTGCTTGTTCCACCAACCTCCATGGGAGGGTGGTTTATATGCATGTTTGCTTTTATGAAAGATGAATTATGCATTGATATATGCCTGAGATATGTTGATTTAACTACTACTGTAATGTATGGATGTGATGTTGATTACTTACATGATCAGGCTGCGACCCTGACGTGTAAGGCATAAGGTTGTGACCCTTATGTTTAGATAGGTCGCAGACGTGCATAAACCCTATCCTGTTCCCTAGCCAGTCGAACCGCATTTGCATACATCACATGATTAATGAGTTATAGTACTTGGCTCGTTTAGCAAGAAATATGTTGTCATGATTTAAATGCCTTAACATGAACATGCATTGTAATTACTATTTTCGAACTTATATTTAAACTTGTAAGTGAGCTTGGGGCGGAAGAGTCTTGGAGGACCCCTTGTCTTACTGAGATTTCTTTTTAGAGATCTCACCTCACGATTGAGGTACATTTTCAGGTTCAGGTACTGATAGGACGAAAATTCGTTCCCATCTAAGCCCATTTTGATGGCAAAATGTCATCCGTTCCCTCACCTGATGAGCAACTTTAGCACTAAAAGCACATGTTTAATATCTTTTTGACAAAAACACAATGGGGAACGGATGGTGACGTAAGTCTTTGGAAAATATATAAAAAGGAGAACAAATTTGGAACATTAAATACACCTGCTCCACTCATTTAATATTTCTGACCACTTTGCAGGAAACGTTGGAAAAAAGTTTCCATAAAGCAAGAGGAAACGTGCGCAGTAGAGAATAAACGGTTCCTATTGGTTAAAGAGGAGAGTAAGGCATGGGGATGATCAGAAGGATAGACAAATCTCAACAATAATTGTCCCATCCAGCCACTTGCGCCCCTCAAAGAACTGTTCACACTGCCCCTTCCATGCAGTCAAGAAAACAACTCCAAGAGAATTATCCACTTTGCCCTTCACTCTTCTGCCTATAAATAGGACGTTCCAGCACGAAGAAAAGAATCGAATTCCTTAAGAAGAGATCACTTAATTTATTTTATAGTTTTCTTTGTATTTTGTATAGTTTTAACTTTAGTTAAGTGACAACACTTCTTCTTCATTCTGTATCACCCACTTGAGACTCCTCACGAGCAGCAACCATATTCTCCACTTTTTATTGTGTTGTAATCAAGTTATTTTCATTTAAATACAAGTGTTATTTCTCTCCTTTTCATTCGTTATCTCTGAACTGAATCTCGGGTCTATGGAACTTCAGTTTGGAATAATTATGTTTAAGCTAGTAGCCATGGGCTAAACTATCCGTGGAACGGAAAAACTGCAAAGTTCTTAAAGACTTATTCTCAAAACTTTTGTATTTAAGCTTTTCTATTTCTCTAGTTAAGTAAGCTATATTCATTGTGTATCAATTGAAATTGAACACATACTGGGAAAGGAACTTCCATAAGGGAGGAATCTCAGATAGCTTAACCAGAGGGGGAAGGTAGTGTTGTGGAAACAACGCTGCTGGTTGCCTTAGGAATAAGGGACCACCTTGTTCACTTGAAGGTCCTGTACCCAGTACCTGTTGGAGTCAACTATAATAGCCCATCTTAATTAATTAGTAAATCAAGTGTAATTAATTAATTAAACATGTTTTAGTGAGTAAAATTAAGTATAAGGCTTAATTAAATGAATCTGAGTCACTTTGGAGTTAAAAAGTGTACTCAGTGAAAATTAAGGGGTATAAATGGGTACTGGTGAAAGTACCCAAATTATAAAAATAAAAATAGTAATATTCCTAGAATAATATTCCAGACTTTTGGGTAAAGTTTGGTAATTATTGGAGTTGAATAGATAGACGAACCAATACCCGCTTAAAGCCACTTAACCTATGTTAAGTGACTTAAGCTACTAAAAGAACCCATTTTCCCCCCATTCCCCGTCGAGCCAGAAACTGAGAGAAGAAGAAGAAGGAGAAATGAGGGAGAAGGAAGGGAGGAAGAGAGAGAGAGATCAAACCTTGACCGTTTTGGGTGATTCAAAAGCCTAAATCGCTTAGAATCTCGTCCTCTTTCATAATCCTAGCTTTGTTTTGAGTGGGGAGCATTGTGGAGAGAGAAATCAACCCTCCAAAATTCGCCCCTTTTGGTGAGAGTTGGGGTTTTGGGGTGATTCTCTCCATTGAAGCTTGGGGAACGCTCATTGCATCGTTGTGTGGTCATTGGTGGTAAGTTTCCACTACTTTGCACACTAAATCCCTATATTTTTGCATGAGTTAGGGTTTATGAATAGTAAATTGGGATTTTGATGAAATGTAGTTGAATTTGCTATGTTCTAGGGAGAATGAGATTTAGTGCATGTTATAAGAAGTGCTAGGAATGGCATTTAATCGGTGGAAATGAGCCTAGATAGTCATTTGATAATTGTTCATAATATTGGAAAGTTCATGCTTGGATTGGTTAGTATTCTAGCATGTTGAACAATTAGTGAGTTGAATGATTGATTGTGTCCTTGTGATGTCTAGGATTGAGACATTTGGACCGACCGTGAGTGATCAACCTCTTGAGCAAGCTATGGAGCTTGAGTAGCTCATTGGAA